AAAAACAAAGGACAATTTTCTATATGATTGATGTATAGTGGTTTGAATAATACTTCAAATAAAATTTCGCAAAAATTCCTCGCGATATTAGGATACCATGCTAATGTAGTATTTCGTTTTCTTTTTCATATATATTGGGTTGTCCGGAAAGTTTGTGCCGATGTTGAAGGAAAATTGAAACGCAGAAAATTTTAATTTAATAAATGTATACTAAAATTTAAATTTTAATCGGCACGAACTTTCCGGACAACCCAATATGTTCGTTTCGCTTATTTTCTTTCGTCATAATACTATGAAAATATCGCTTCAGCGAGGAATAATATGACAGAGCTTTCCGCTCTTCATACTTTAGTCGCGATTATCGAAGAAACAAACGGCGTGCGTGCTGCGGACGATTCAATTTTCCATTTCTTATTTTGACATTGTATATATTTACGGTAATCTAATAAAAATGCGAAAGAGAAATGCCACATAAGTGTATTAAAAGTTAAAATAACAAATTTATCAGCGAATGTAAAAGTAATATAAAATCTCATATAAAAAATTATCAAAATAATTTACAAATTCCTTATATCTTATTATATATACCAAAAAGCGATTTTTGTAAAAAATATTATATATTATATCTATAATATTTTCAATGTTAATTCTACTTATTACCTTGTAAGACCACTGCTTCGTATGTTATAATTTCTGCAAATAATAATAAGAGGAATTACTAAAACAACAAGTAAAACCTATCCGATGTTACACTCCGATGTTACACTCCGATTATGATAAGTTTTGAGTATGTTGTAATCTAAGTCCAAGAAGCACATATTTTTTTGTACGTGCCACTAAGGGGATGAAATACCTTCTTGAAAAAAACGATTTTTATATTTCTGAGCTAATATCATCGAAACGATATAAAAGATATAAAAAAAAGTTTCAAATAAAAGTTTTATGATTTAATGTACTTTATAATACTTCATATTATATATATATTTTTTGAAATCCACTCCACTTTCCTCAATTTTTGAAAATTTGAAAATTTATTTTTTAGCAAAACTTATTAAGCATATTTAACAATAATAGCGATGTAAAGATATATTTAAAGATATATAGCTTATTTCCGAAAAATGCGTCTTCACAATACATCTTTATCATACATGGTTATATTTGACGTTAAATATGCTATAAATTTTTATATTAGGTGTAGTAAAAAGAAATCCATTATTTTTCCATTCAATTTCATGCAAAAATGGATTTCTTTTTACTACACCTAATATAAGATAAATTTTAAAATTTTCAAATTGAAGAAGATTTCGGGAAAAAAATGATATTTTCGAAAAATCTAAGTGAATTGTTATAAAATACATTGAAAATTATAAAACTTTTATTTGAAACTTTGTAATATTTTTTACTATTTCGACGATATTAGCTCAAAAATGTAAAAACTGTTTTTTTTTCATCCTCTTAACGGCTGTATGAGCACATATAAATATATAAAAAAAATACGTGTCCCTTACTTTGACCTAGAATAAAATATTCAAAGCTTATTAAACTCGGAGTGTAACATTTGAATAGGTATACTTGTAAAATTGACTAGAATTCAACCACCAAATAATTTCAAAATTACATTTATATAACGATATTGTAGCTAAAAAAATAGAGAACTTTACAAACATCTATCTAATTTGCTTATTATTAATTAATAATTTTATTAATAGTTTTTATATTTTTTAAATTATAATTTTATTCGTCAATAATAACGAAATCTTTTCATCAATCTATAGATTTTGTTCTTATGAGTCCTAATTCAGTCATCTTTAAAACCACTTTATGTCATAGCTGGTACAATAAAATAAGTAAAAAATTAGCGTAAATGGCTTTCAAAAGTCACAAATGGAAGTTTGAGAATTGTCCGAAGAACGCGCGACGCGAGAGATCCTAGGACTCATGATTGATGGGCATGATAGTGCGATAAAAATCACATTGAAGGCATAAATGAACAAATCAATACTATAATAGAGTAATAGTCTTTTTCACGTTGCACATTTGGACCGTTGCTTGCGAAGAATTGAATGACGATGATGATGACAGTTACGGCGGCGACGATGATGACGACAAAGATGTTGATTATCGTTAAATATACGTACGTAGCAAATATACGCGTCCAGATGTATATGGTCAGATACGGACATGAAAGGAGTTCTTACGTATAATTACGTTTCTTCTGTGGTTTTTCTTCTCGCAGTCACGTTAATTGGACGTCAATCAACGAACCTCATCAGCTTTCATTCCTCATCCTTGAATTTCACGCGAATCTCACCCATCCCGTTATTCCACGCCAATTTGGTAGATTCAGATTAGAGGTAAAAGTCTGTCTTTTCATCCTTCCACTCTTTCTAGTAGTAATCGATATCTTACGTAATCGATATCTCGAAAGTTCGTAATGGACTTCTGTTGATAGTGTACTAGTGGTACCGCAGAGAGAAGAAAGTTAGTAACTACGATTGTATCACACTCTTTACATCTTAACGTTTATCGCGAGGAGAAGATCACATCGGTATGTCGCGGCGAGTTTTGTGTCAGATATTTAGAAGATGTGTGTACATGCGTGCGTTCGCGCGTATGTATATGGACGCGTGTTAATAAAATTTGATCATTTATGATGATATCAAGCTACGGGATGATGAGAAACCTATCGTCGATCGATTCGTATTATTGATCTTTTCAATCAGTCGTTTCATGATGTCTGCTGCTTTATATTTTCTTGTTTCTTCTTTTTTTCTTAGTTTCGAGAGCCGTAGTAGTAGAAAGTGGCGGTAATAGTAGCAGTAGTAGTAGTAGTAGTAGTAGTAATAGTAGTAGTAGTAGTAGTAGTAGTAGTAGTAGTAGTAGTAGTAGTAGTAGTAGTAGTAGTAGTAATAGTAGTAGGTGGCCTACGGTGAGCGCGGTACGTAACGAGAGTCTTATTTTATCAATCGGATTATGCAATGTGAACACACAATGACGTAGTTGCACGGTACGTATTTGCGTACAGAAATATATTATTATAGTCTTTTAGTTTCGATAAAAAAGTTCAGTTCCCACCTCGATTGATTGCTCAATTCGAAGTGACGCGCTTTCTTTCTCTCCCTCCCTTTCTCTCCCTCCCTTTCTCTCCCTCTCTCTCGTTCCTTTGACTTTTATATATGTGCAATATGCATATATGTAATATGTATTATGTATTAATACATATTATATATATATATATATATA